AACAGCCTCAACTGAACGCAACAAGGAAAGAGTGGATGAGATCATTCAAGATGACAGGCATGTGACTGTGAACACAATAGCCCGAAAACTTGGAATAGGGCACAGTGCAGTACAGGAGATGATTGAAAGCTTGGGCTATAGGAAAGTTTGTGCTCATCGGGTCTCACGGTTATTGACCGAAGACCATAAAGGTCAGCGAAAAGCCATCACCTCAAAACTGCTACAGAGATGTCAACACGAAGGTGATGATTTTTTGCTCTGTGTTGTGACAGGTGATGAAAGCTGGGTTCACCATTTTGAGCCTGAAACGAAACGGCAGAGTATGGAATGGCACCATATGCATTCTCCATCAAAATAGAAGGCAAAGACAGTGCCATCAGCTGCAAAGGCGATGGGCACAGTCTTCTGGGATGCAGAGGGGTTTATTCTGGCCGAATTCCTGGAACCTGGGCAAACCATCAATGCTGCTCATTATGTCCAGATGCTGCACAAGCTGCGCTGCGCGATAAACATCCTGGAAAAAACATCATCATCCTGCATGACAACTCTCATCTCACATTGGAAGCAATTGCAAAGATGGGGTGGGAAGTTCTTCCACACCACTCCTATAGCCCTGATCTGGCACCCTCCGACTACCATCTTTTCGGATTTGTGAAGGATCAGCTGCATGGACAACGTTTTGAGATGAGGGAGACAATTCAGAAAGCCGTGCGTCAGTGTCTTCGGATGGCTGGAACGGAATTTTACAGAAGGGGAATTTTCAAACTCCCAGAACGCTGGGAGAAATGTGTACAAAGAAGTGGCGATTATGTGGAAAAATAAAGAAAGGTCTGTAGATTGAGGTGGTGTATTTGGTTTGTCAATAATAAGGCATGTTACTTTACAAAAAATTGTTGCTCATGACTTTCAGTACGACCCTCCTAATTTTTAACACATTCAGGACCGGAGGGGCCAATTGACCCTCTACGGTTCTATAGCATTGTGGACCGGGCGGGCCAATTGGCCCTTTTCTGACGCGTTATGTTGCAACCGACTATATTTCGCTGTGTGGCCACTTTGCATCATAACTACTGCATAGTTGACCTCAGGAATGTTTGCTACCTTAGTCTGTAACATGATCACGCTCATTTCCTGTCACACCCTAAAGAAAAAAGCCTTTGTTCGAGTCCAAGCTTCTACGCATGAACCAGGAAGTTAGCAGTGCAACATGGATCAGAGACGAAAGCAGTTGCAGGTGAAGCGTTCTCTCAGAGAACAAGAAATATTAGATTTGTTCTCCGATGAGCTATCAGATTTGCCAACTGCTTCGTCTTCTGATAGCGAGGCCAGCCTCAGTGAAAGTGACAGTGACAGGGGCCACAGGGCCCCCCAAAATATTGTGTCCAGTGAAAGTGAGAGCTCCGATGAAAGTGCGAGTACCGGGACAGCCACATGGGGTAAAG